CGTCCTCCTCCTCCTCCTCCTCCTCCCCTCCTCCTCCTCCTCCTCCTCCTCCTCCTCCTCCTCCTCCTCCCCCCTCCCCCCCCCCTCCCCCTCCTTTGTTCCCGTTCCGTGGGCCCCGAGAGCTCCCCCTGTCGAGTCCTGTTGGCAAATCGACTGCCTCCGGCTGTCACGCCGGAGGCGTGGCTGGCCGCGCGGACGGGAGCAGCGTCGTGCCCTCGTGGATGGGAGTCAGTAGCGCAGCAGGTGGTGGCAGCAGATGCAGGAGAGGGGTGTGGAGGGCCGTGCGCCTCACTCACCCCCCTCGCTGCCGCCTCCGAGGAGGAGGAGGAGGAGAAAGAGGAGGAGGAGAAAGAGGAGGAGGAGACAGAGGAGGAGGAGAAAGAGGAGGAGGAGGAGGAGACCTCATCGTACCTTTCTCACTCCCTTCCCCTCCTCCGCGCGGCAGTCGTAGCAGCAACAGCGGCAGGTGGGCGGAGGCGGCTCTCAAACGGTGTAGGCCTGGCGCGAAGGGCAACAAGGAGGAGGAGGAGGAGGAGGAGGAGGAGGAGGAGGAGGAGGAGGAAAGGGCGGACCAGAGGAGCACGAGGAGAAAGGGGTAGGGGAGGAGGAGGAGGAGGGGAGGAGGAGGAGGAGGATGAGGAGGAGGAGGAGGAGGAGGAGAGGAGGGGAGGAGGAGGAGGGGGAGGAGGAGGAGGGGGCCAGGACGAGAGCGGGTTCGCGCATCGTGGCCCGAGGCACACGCGCGGGCGAGGGGGGGGGGGGGGGGGCAGGGCACGTGGCTGAAAGAAGGAGCGGGGCCACGAAGTCTGGGAGACGTCGTGGCCCTTGCCACGATGTCCCCCTCCCCCCAGCGGTGGTTCCAGCATGGGGTCCTAAAGGGATGGAATCCTGGGGACGAGGTGCCTCGATTAATGTAAATCTAAGACCCCATCCTGTCCTTAGGACCCCATCCCTCAGGACGATGGGCCCCTTCCTATCCTTAGGACCCCATCCCTCAGGACCCCATCTTTGCACCACCGACCCCGGTCCTCCCTCCCCCCCTCTCTTCGGCCTTCTCGACGCCGGCGGCGCCCTGCCCTGGGACGAATCGCGCCGGGGCCGCCGCCGCGCCGGCGCGGCGCCCGCCTGCCGTGCCCATAGGGGCCCTAGAGGGCGGGCAGGGACGTAGGCGTGCACATGTGTGAAGGGGCCCCAGGACACACAAAATAGATACACACAAGTCAAACTACGCCCCATGCTTTCCCAGATTTTCTGGGTGTCTGCCTTCCCCCCCCACTTCCCACATCTTCTCATATTTTTTCTGAGGCATCGAGGATTCACTGTGTCTGTGTGTTTTTCCCTCTCCTGACATGTGTGCGGCCTCCACGGGGCAGCCCACGCTCCGACGCGGGCGGGCGGAGAGGCCGACCGCGCACGCATGCGTGTGCGCGCGCATGCGTGCGTGCTCGACGCCGGCGCCGCGGGGAAGGGCAAAAGCCGGGGAGCGCGGAGGAGGAGGAGGAGGAGGAGGAGGAGGAGGAGGAGGAGGAGGAGGAGGAGGAGGAGGAGAGGGGCCCATATCTGGGCCCACAGCGGCGCGCTGCCTCCGATCGACGCCGGCCACGGCCTGCCCTCCTGTGCTTTCAAACATCAGACAGAGTGTTGGCCATCAGACCTGGTTGATCCTGCCAGTAGTCCTTTGCGTGTCTCGAAGATTAAGCCATGCATGTCTCAGTATAAACTTCTATGCGGCGAAGCTGCGAATGGCTCATTCAGACAGTGATAGTTTATTTGATGGTCATTCGTTACATGGATAACTGTGCTAATTGTCGAGCTAATACATGCGCCCAAACCCGACTTATGGGAAGGGTTGTGTTTACCCATGAGCATGTCTTGCGCTGCGTCCCGCATCAATGCTTGATACTCCCTCGGGCCCAGAAGCGGTCCCTGGAGGCCGACGTCGAGAACAAAACAAAGGCAGCGAGCGAAGGAACTCACACCGTCGGAGGTCTGGATGCACGTCGCGGTGACCTCTGAGAATAGAGGCCTCCCAGATGGGGTCTGAGTGAGCTGGGTCGTAGGATTGCGCCGCATCGAAAGTACATCGCCGATGCATTGGCGATGCATCAGCGACATCGGCGATGCATCGGCGACGTTGACGTGGACAAAAACGAGCACAGATCGAGTCGCATCGGCGACACACACAAACACATACATATTTTTATATATATACATACATACACACAAGATTTGAAGGCTCGCTGCGCTTCGCCTTCTAATACTTATCCTTGCACTGCTGTGCCTCTAGCGACGCTGCGGTCCAGATCGTCGTCGTCGTCGCCGCCGCCGCCGTCGGCGTCGTCGTCGTCGTCGTTGTCGTCGTCGTAGTCGTGGGCTGTGGGGAGGAGGCGGTGGGCTCCCGAGACCAAAAGAAAACCACGTATCAAATTGTGGTTCCCCGGACCCTGGATGCCTGTCGTGGGATCTCTTTGGGGCCCCCTAGGTGTGTCCTGGGGCCCCTCGGTGTCTCTGGGGAGCTTGGATGGCAGTCTCTGGTTTGGGGCCTTTTCAGAAGGCAGCGCAGGCGGAAGCCTTGTCGCACGGAGGCCAGTGGTGGGGTCTTCTTGGACCGTCCAGGAGTCTCGTGGGTGCTTGTGGGAAGCTGGTGACAGCAGTGTAGGGTCTGGGGTTATGTTGATCCCACCGTACTTAAGGACCACATCCCAGAAATAATGTCGAGCACCCAGAAAAGTGTCGAAAGAGTGTCGAAACAGTGTTGAAACAGTGTCGGACGAGTGTCTCCCAGGGCCCGACACGCGAAAACCCCAGAGCTTCGGTACGTTTTCTGGTGCCCGAAATTCTTTTCGGTGGCCGAAGCTAAAGTAGGTTGGAACAGCATAAGTCTGGGGTATGTTGTAGGTCCTCTCGAGATTTCCGTGGGCCCCTGAGACGAAAGGAAAATTGCGCATCAAATTGTGGTTCCCCGGACCCTGGCTGCCTGTCGTGGGCCCTCTTTGGGGCCCCCTTGGTTTGTCTTGGGGCCCTTGGGTTTCTCTGGGGAGCTGGTGATAACAGTCTCTGGTCTGGGGCCTTGCAGAAGGCAGCGGAGGAGGAAGACAACGAACTGCAGGATGAGTAAGAGGAGCAGGAGGAGCAAGAGCAGGAGGAGGAGGAGGAGGAGGAGGAGGAGGGGGCGGAGAAGGAGGAGCAGAGGGAGGGGGGGGAGGAGGAGGAGGAGGAGGGGGAGGAGGAGGAGAAGGAGGATAATGAGAAAAGGATGATGATGAGGAGGAGGAGGAGGAGGAAGAGGAGGAGGGGGAGGAGGGGAGAAGATTTCCGAAGAGTTGGTGTCGAGAGTGACATTGGAACCTTCTTGGACTTTCTTGGGAATCTCTTCAGAGACTCGTGACAGGAGAGTTGATGAAGCTGAAACAGTGGGACGTTAATGAAGTTGGCCTCTGTAGGCATGATTGGGGATCCGCTTGGGGCCCTTTTCTGGTCATCTAGGCGCCCTCTTGGGCTGTCCTGGAGCCCTCTACGGCCGTTTTGGGACGACGACGACGACGACGACAGCGACGACGACGACGATGACGACAAGGACGACGACGACGACGGCGGCGACGACGACGGCGGCGACGACGACGACGACGACGAACGAAACTCGGCGACGACAACTGGCCGCCCGGGGTCGTTTTGGAGCCATCTTGGGAGGCTTTGGAGCGTGCTTGACGCTGACCTGGAGGCGTCCAGGGCTCCTCATGGGAGCACCTGGACAGCTCGCTCGGAGCTCGTGGCAGGTCTCTCGGGGGCCTCCTGGAAGCACTTCGGAAGCCGCTCGGGGCCCGGACGGTTCGTCCGGAGCTCGCGGCAGGTCTCTCGGGGGCCCCCTGGAAGGACTTCGGAAGCCGCTTGGGGCCCGGACCGGCGTGCCCGTTGGGGGGCGTTTGGGGGGCTCTTGGGGACCGCTCGGGGGCTTCTTGGAGGGCTCCCAGAGGCCCCCACGTTCGTGGGGAGCCTCTTGGTGACCTCCAGGGCCTTTCTTAGGGCCTCGGGGCCGAGGGCCCGAAAAGTCCGTTCGGATGCCTCGTCTGGGCTCTCTCTCGGAGCCGTCTTGGGGCCCTTTTTGGGGCCGTTTTGGATGCCTCTGGGGCTGTCTTGGTGCCCGTTGGGAGCTGTCTCGGGGCTGTTTCGGGGGTTTCTTGGGCGGTCTTGGGGCGATCTTGGGGGCCTCTTGGGCTGTCTTGGAGCGTCGGGAAACCGAAAAGGCGATACCCAAGCAGATCTTCCAGAACCTACGAACAAAAAAATAACCATTTTTGCCTCTTGGGCTTCTTGGGGCGTCTTGGAGGCGTCTTGGAGGCGTCTTGGGCCGTATTGGGACTATCTTGGGCGTCGTGGAGCGATCTTTGTGCGTCTCGTGACTCTCTTGGAGGATCTTGGGGGCAGGTCTCTTGGAGGCCTCCTGGAAGCATTTCGGAAGCCTCTTGGGGCCCGGTTCGGTGCCTGTTGGGGGCCGTTTGGGGGGCTCGGGGACCGCTCGGGGGCCTCTTGGGAGTCTCGTGGGGGCCCCTGGGAGCCTCTTGGGGGCCTCAAGGGCGCTTCTTGGCGCCTCCTGGGGGCCTCTTGGGGCCAAAGCCCGAAAAGTCCGTTCGGATCCCCCGTCTGGGCTCTCTCTTAGAGCCGTCTTGGGGCCCATTTGGTGGCTGTCTTGGTGCTCGTTGGGGCCGTCTTGCGGCTGTTTCAGGGGTTTCTTGGGCGGTCTTGGGGCGATCTTGGGGACCTCTTGGGCTGTCTTGGAGCGTCGGGAAGCCGAAACGGCGAGACCCAAAGAACTCATCCAGAGCCTACGAACAACAAACCAACCATTTTTGCCTCTTGGGCTTCTTGGGGCGTCTTGGAGGCGTCTTCGAACTATCTTGGGCGTCGTGGAGCGATATTTGTGCGTCTCGTGACTCTCTTGGAGGATCTTGGGGGCAGGTCTCTTGGGGGCCTCCTGGAAGTATTTCGGAAGCCTCTTTTTTTGACACAAGCAGTAAGTACGCAATGATGGTCACAATGATCATCGCCATATGTCGTCGCCGCTAGCGTCACTGAATGATTTCACGGATGAAGGCTGCACTGGTGTCGAAGTCATCGGCGTCTATGTTCTTCATGGCGCAGGCGTGGTGCATTGGCATCAGCTTGAGTTGAGCTGCAACCGCAGCAATGCACAAAAGCGCGACAATGTCTGAAACATGAGCGCTCGCTCACAACGAAACACAATCTTCTGAATATTGCACCGAGTCTGTCAACCGAACACTTCCAGCCGCGCGCGCGTGTGGTGTGTGAACGTGTGAAACGTGTGGGAAGTGCAAATGTGTGCCAATGTGTGCGAATGTGTGTAACTGCACGAATGCAGGAATGTCTACTGTATGCGTGCCTGCGTGTGGCAGCAGCCATTTCGGCCCAACGATTGCTTGCATTGCTCGATACGGCCATCCTTCACACGAGCTCCGTAGGCGCGCGCCTTACGACAGCGAGAAGTGACTACGTCATTATCCGACTCACCAAGCACCGAGTCGGGGCAACGACTTAGCAGTCCGAGCCCGCATCTTGGAGCGGTGGCGCTTCGTGCGCACCAAGCGCGTCGACGACGAGCACAGCCGCCTCTAGCGGGACAGACACAAGCTGCACCTGGAAAACCAGCCCTTCTGCTGGGATGACAGTGCTGTTGAACCCAGTATGGGCCGAAGCATTGCGGAAGCCTCTTGGGGCCCGGTTCGGTGCCTGTTGGGGGCCGTTTGGGGGGCTCTTGGGGACCGCTCGGGGGCCTCTTGGGAGTCTCGTGGGGGCCCCTGGGAGCCTCTCGGGGCCTCAAGGGCGCTTCTTGGCGCCTCCTGGGGGGCCCGTCGGGGCCAAAGCCCGAAAAGTCCGTTCGGATCCCCCGTCTGGGCTCTCTCTTAGAGCCGTCTTGGGACCCTTTTGGTGGCCTCTGGGGCTGTCTTGGTGCTCGTTGGGGCCGTCTTGCGGCTGTGTCGGGGGTTTCTTGGGCGGTCTTGGGGCGATCTTGGGGGCCTCTTGGGCTGTCTTGGAGCGTCGGGAAGCCGAAACGGCGAGACCCAAAGAAATCATCCAGAACCTACGAACAACAAACCAACCATTTTTGCCTCTTGGGCTTCTTTGGGCGTCTTGGAGGCGTCTTGGGACTATCATGGGCGTCGTGGAGCGATCTTTGTGCGTCTCGTGACTCTCTTGGAGGATCTTGGGGGCAGGTCTCTTGGGGGCCTCCTGGAAGCATTTCGGAAGCCTCTTGGGGCCCGGTTCGGTGCCTGCTGGGGGCCGTTTGGGGGGCTCTTGGGGACCGCTCGGGGGCCTCTTGGGAGTCTCGTGGGGGCACCGGGGAGCCTCTTGGGGGCCTCAAGGGCGCTTCTTGGCGCCTCCTGGGGGCCTCTTGGGGCCAAAGCCCGAAAAGTCCGTTCGGATCCCCCGTCTGGGCTCTCTCTTAGAGCCGTCTTGGGGCCCTTTTGGTGGCCTCTGGGGCTGTCTTGGTGCTCATTGGGGCCGTCTTGGGGCTGTTTCGGGGGTTTCTTGGGCGGTCTTGGGGCGATCTTGGGGGCCTCTTGGGCTGTCTTGGAGCGTCGGGAAGCCGAAACGGCGAGACCCAACAAACCAACCATTTTTGCCTCTTGGGCGTCTTGGAGGCGTCTTGGGACTATCATGGGCGTCGTGGAGCGATCTTTGTGCGTCTCGTGACTCTCTTGGAGGATCTTGGGGGCAGGTCTCTTGGGGGTCTCCTGGAAGCATTTCGGAAGCCTCTTGGGGCCCGGTTCGGTGCCTGTTGGGGGCCGTTTGGGGGGCTCTTGGGGACCGCTCGGGGGCCTCTCGGGAGTCTCATGGTGGCCTCTGGGAGCCTCTTGGTGACCTCCAGGGCCTTTCTTGGGGCCTCGGGGCCGAGGGCCCGAAAAGTCCGTTCGGATCCCCCGTCTGGGCTCTCTCTGAGAGCCGCCTTGGGGCCCTTTTGGGCCGTTTTGGAAGCCTCTGGGGCTGTCTTGGTGCCCGTTGGGGCTGGGCTGTCTTGGGGCTGTTTCAGGGGTTTCTTGGGCGGTCTTGGGGCGATCTTGGGGGCCTCTTGGGCTGTCTTGGAGCGTCGGGAAGCCGAAAAGGCGAGACCCAAGCAGATCTTCCAGAACCTACGAACATTTTTACCTCTTGGGCTTCTTGGGGTGTCTTGGAAGCGTCTTGGGCCGTATTGGGACTATCTTGGGCGTCGTGGAGCGATCTTTGTGCGTCTCGTGACTCTCTTGGAGGATCTTGGGGGCAGGTCTCTTGGAGGCCGGTTCGGTGCCTGGTTCGGTGCCTGTTGGGGGCCGTTTGGGGGGCTCGGGGACCGCTCGGGGGCCTCTTGGGAGTCTCGTGGGGGCCTCTGGGAGCCTCTTGGGGGCCTCAAGGGCGCTTCTTGGCGCCTCCTGGGGGCCTCTTGGGGCCAAAGCCCGAAAAGTCCGTTCGGATCCCCCGTCTGGGCTCTCTCTCTTAGAGCCGTCTTGGGGCCCTTTTGGTAGCTGTCTTGGTGCTCGTTGGGGCCGTCTTGCGGCTGTTTCGGGGGTTTCTTGGGCGGTCTTGGGGCGATCTTGGGGGCCTCTTGGGCTGTCTTGGAGCGTCGGGAAGCCGAAACGGCGAGACCCAAAGAAATCATCCAGAACCTACGAACAACAAACCAACCATTTTTGCCTCTTGGGCTTCTTGGGGCGTCTTGGAGGCGTCTTGGGACTATCTTGGGCGTCGTGGAGCGATCTTTGTGCGTCTCGTGACTCTCTTGGAGGATCTTGGGGGCAGGTCTCTTGGGGGCCTCCTGGAAGCATTTCGGAAGCCTCTTGGGGCCCGGTTAGCTCTTGGGGACCGCTGAGGGGCCTCTTGGGAGTCTCGTGGGGGCTCCTGGGAGCCTCTTGGGGGCCTCAAAGGCGCTTCTTGGCGCCTCCTGGGGGCCTCTTGGGGCCAAAGCCCGAAAAGTCCGTTCGGATCCCCCGTCTGGGCTCTCTCTTAGAGCCGTCTTGGGACCCTTTTGGCGTCCTCTGGGGCTGTCTTGGTGCTCGTTGGGGCCGTCTTGGGGCTGTTTCGGAGGTTTCTTGGGCGGTCTTGGGGCGATCTTGGGGGCCTCTTGGGCTGTCTTGGAGCGTCGGGAAGCCGAAACGGCGAGACCCAAAGAAATCATCCAGAACCTACGAACAACAAACCAACCATTTTTGCCTCTTGGGCTTCTTGGGGCGTCTTGGAGGCGTCTTGGGACTATCGTGGGCGTCGTGGAGCGATCTTTGTGCGTCTCGCGACTCTCTTGGAGGATCTTGGGGGCAGGTCTGTTGGGGGCCACCTGGAAGCATTTCGGAAGCCTCTTGGGGCCCGGTTCGGTGCCTGTTGGGGGCCGTTTGGGGGGCTCTTGGGGACCGCTCGGGGGCCTCTTGGGAGTCTCGTGGGGGCCTCTGGGAGCCTCTTGGGGGCCTCAAGGGCGCTTCTTGGCGCCTCCTGGGGGCCTCTTGGGGCCAAAGCCCGAAAAGGCCGTTCGGATCCCCCGTCTGGGCTCTCTCTTAGAGCCGTCTTGGGGCCCTTTTGGTAGCTGTCTTGGTGCTCGTTGGGGCCGTCTTGCGGCTGTTTCGGGGGTTTCTTGGGCGGTCTTGGGGCGATCTTGGGGGCCTCTTGGGCTGTCTTGGAGCGTCGGGAAGCCGAAACGGCGAGACCCAAAGAAATCATCCAGAACGAACAACAAACCAACCATTTTTGCCTCTTGGGCTTCTTGGGGCGTCTTGGAGGCGTCTTGGGACTATCATGGGCGTCGTGGAGCGATCTTTGTGCGTCTCGTGACTCTCTTGGAGGATCTTGGGGGCAGGTCTCTTGGGGGCCTCCTGGAAGCATTTCGGAAGCCTCTTGGGGCCCGGTTAGCTCTTGGGGACCGCTGAGGGGCCTCTTGGGAGTCTCGTGGGGGCTCCGGGGAGCCTCTTGGGGGCCTCAAGGGCGCTTCTTGGCGCCTCCTGGGGGCCTCTTGGGGCCAAAGCCCGAAAAGTCCGTTCGGATCCCCCGTCTGGGCTCTCTCTCTTAGAGCCGTCTTGGGGCCCTTTTGGTGGCCTCTGGGGCTGTCTTGGTGCTCGTTGGGGCCGTCTTGGGGCTGTTTCGGGGGTTTCTTGGGCGATCTTGGGGCGGGCCTCTTGGGCTGTCTTGGAGCGTCGGGAAGCCGAAACGGCGAGACCCAAAGAAATCATCCAGAACCTACGAACAACAACCCAACCATTTTTGCCTCTTGGGCTTCTTGGGGCGTCTTGGAGGCGTCTTGGGAGTATCATGGGCGTCGTGGAGCGATCTTTGTGCGTCTCGTGACATTATTGGAGGATCTTGGGGGCAAGTCTCTTGGGGGCCTCCTGGAAGCATTTCGGAAGCCTCTTGGGGCCCGGTTAGGTGCCTGTTGGGGGCCGTTTGGGGGGCTCTTGGGGACCGCTCGGGGGCCTCTTGGGAGTCTCGTGGGGGCCCCTAGGAGCCTCTTGGGGGCCTCAAGGGCGCTTCTTGGCGCGTCTGGGGGCCTCTTGGGGCCCAAAGCCCGAACAGTCCGTGCGGATCCCCCGTCTGGGCTCTCTCTTGGGATTGTTGCTGATCTTCGAGACAGCGCTTGAGACATGGGGCGCCAGGACGTGGACGAGCGGGGCGAAGAGGCGTGGGATGAAGAGAGAGATAGAGAGAGAGAGAGAGAGAGAGAGAGAAAGACAAACAAAAAAAAATGTCCCACCGCGGGCGCCGCTCTTTTCCCACCTGTCCCACCGCGGGCGTCGACCTCGGCATGGTGCCGACCTGTCCCACCGCGGGCGCCGCTCTTTTGCTTGGTGGGTGCGAGCGAACTGCGCACCGTGGCAAACAGAAGTTGCATGCAAAATGAGGCTCGAAAGCAATGCCTACCTTCAGCGTCATAACTTCGAATTCCGCGCAGCGCGGAGAGAGCTGCCGAGGGCCAGCCCGCGAGAGCCGAGAAGCTGGGCAGCTGCAACTCGAGGATCGGGCCAGATTACAGCCGCAGATGTAGGATCGCCTCCTGCTTAACTTTGCGGGGCGTCAGAAAGAAAGAGGGTCGAAAGACCAACGTGCGAGGGCGTCAGAAGTTTGCCGGCGAGGGCCGACCTGTCCCACCGCGGGCGCCGCTCTTTTGCTTGGCGGGTGCGAGCGAAATGCGCACCGTGGCAAACAGAAGTTGCATGCAAAATGAGGCTCGAAAGCAATGCCTACCTTCAGCGTCATAACTTCGAATTCCGCGCAGCGCGGAGAGAGCTGCCGAGGGCCAGCCCGCGAGAGCCGAGAAGCTGGGCAGCTGCAACTCGAGGATCGGGCCAGATTACAGCCGCAGATGTAGGATCGCCTCCTGCTTAACTTTGCGGGGCGTCAGAAAGAAAGAGGGTCGAAAGACCAACGTGCGAGGGCGTCAGAAGTTTGCCGGCGAGGGCCGACCTGTCCCACCGCGGGCGCCGCTCTTTTGCTTGGCGGGTGCGAGCGAAATGCGCACCGTGGCAAACAGAAGTTGCATGCAAAATGAGGCTCGAAAGCAATGCCTACCTTCAGCGTCATAACTTCGAATTCCGCGCAGCGCGGAGAGAGCTGCCGAGGGCCAGCCCGCGAGAGCCGAGAAGCCGGGCAGCTGCATCAGGAGATCTCGAGATCTCGATATCGGGGGCGGGGCCGGGCGGGGACTCGATACTGCCAACTCAAGCTAGAAGTGAGGGATAGAAAATGGAGCGAAGCTTCCCGCGTCCAGCGGAACTTCAAACTCAAGCTAAGGTGAGGGATAGAAAATGGAGCAAAGGCTCTCGCGTCCAGCGAATTTCAAACTGGAGTCAACGTGAGATTGGACATCTACATCGTGAGCGCACCGCATGGGAAGCAAGAGCGGAGAAGAGAAGAGAGGAGGTATCGAGATGTCGGGACGTCGAAGATGCACGTAGGGCGGGGGCGAGACTGCTGGTGGAGAAGCGTAAATGCTTGCACCACTGCGAAGGTCCCTTGTGGGCCCTGGTGTGGGGTCACCTATGCCCCCTTTCAGGGCTTAGGACCCTGTACGCTTGAAACGATTCCTGGCAGAGGGACCGGTAATACTTCGGTGCATCTCATCCAGTACCTCAGTACAGCTCCGCTGAGCGGCGGGTTGAACCTAGGCCCACTCGGTAAGAAAGGCTCACTCGATATTACTATCGCAGGAACAGCTGGAGGGCCCCTGCCCCTCACGTCACACATGCAACAAATCACAATGACAATGGCAGCGACCGTGCCCGACGTTGACGTCCCCTGCGGACGAAGACGACGTCCTCCAGCATCAACCAGATCCCTTGAGCAATGGCCGCTCCGCCATCGTCACCCTCTGGTGGGTCTTCGAATGATGGTAATTTGAACTTTGCGTTCGCCGATACTTCGAGGACTCTCGGGCCCATGTGAGGCAGCTCGAGGCGGATACGGAATGGCTGTGCATCCAGAACATCACCCTGCACAAGGTCTGCATCATGAGCATTAAGCAGATCGTTGTAGGCCCTGTTCGCCCAACGCATAAAGTCGGCACGATTAATGACCCACTGCAGCAGCTTTGGGCCCTCGCATATGGGTCCACACAAACTAAAGAAATCGGGTGAGCACCGCAGCACGGGCAAACCAGTCTGCTTTTCGTCAATCAGAACAGCCATCCCAGTGCTCGAGGGGTCGATCAGCGGACCACGGGAATCAGACGTCGAGACACTGATACAACTCTCTGGGATGCTTGCGACAGCGCTTGAATTCTGTAGCTCTGGGCTGTCGCGTAACACGCCTGGACGCGCCACCCGCGGCTCTTCCGAATCTTCCTTCACACCCACGATGTGGATCAACTCGTCGTGTAGGTCAACGCCCCGGGCGTGAAAGAGCTCAACTTTTATTGGCATGCCCCATGAATCCCTAAAGGACATGTGGAGGCTGTAGGTATCGGATATGGGCCGCTCCAAGAAACGAATCAGACGCGCTCTCTCAGTGGCATCAAACGCTAGATTGGAAAAGTGGACTCCCGCCGCCACATCGCTGGATGATCTTAGGAGCAGGGCGGCAAGGAGTGCGCAGGGCTTTGAAAGCTGAAGCTCTTTCGAGAGATGTACCACTGCATCGCACACACTTGACAGCAGCCCGTCCGCTGTAGACTCGAACTGTCGTGACGCCTTGGCCTCCAGAATTGCCAAAAACTCTGAATCGCGGGACCATGCGACGACGGCTGCTGAGATGCTAACCATCAATGAGACAAACAATTCCTGACGTACGTCTACAGGGTCACGCCACGGCGAGAAAGCTGAGACAGCTGCGACGTACACACTGCCAAGCGACAAGGACACCATGGGCTTTGCATGTATCAAACTCAACATGAAACGAACACATATTTTCACGCGGCTCGCATTCACATACTCAATTCTGGATGTGGTAACGATCGCAATAATGATCAGAGTTACATATATACAGAAATGGTAACAAAGAAAGACTCTCGGGGTCATCCAATCCGGTCTGACGGCGCCCACAATACCAAAGGTTCCGATTGCTAAGTTCAAATACAGTAGTGCGTGAGCTGGGACGTACCCGTCTTGACACAACTGAATTGAATTGTAACAGACGGCTGCAAACAGAACCCAGGGGCACGCCCAAACAACTTGCTCCTGAAGTCGCTTGTCTGCCATACCCTTCAAATGATGATGCAACGGGTGCGGTGGTGTCATGCAGAGCACCCGCTTCATCGTGGAATGGAACGAATGAAACATCGAGCCCAATCGTGGTAAATGGGCACCTCGACAAGAAGCGCGCGCCCGCCAGGCAATAGCAACGACTGCGAGAACATTGAAGCTGAAGAGCCAGACACGTCCGTCAGGCATACTTCGGCCGAACGCTGTAGCTGCCTTGGGCTCGGGCCACTTCAGTGGGAACTGCCTTGAGCCAAAATGGCTACGGACGGTCTTGGGGCGATCTTGGGGGCCTCTTGGGCTGTCTTGGAGCGTCGGGAAGCCGAAAAGGCGAGACCCAAAGAAACCTTCCATAACCTACGAACAACAAACCAAGCATTTTTGCTTCTTGGGGCCCTGGTGGGAAGCCTCCTGGATGCCTCTTGGGGAGTCTTGGAGGCGCCTTGGGCCATATTGGGACTATCTTGGGCGTCGTGGAGCGATCTTTGTGCGTCTCGGGGCCCTCTTGGACGATCTTGGGGGCCTCCTGAGCCGACTTGGAGGCCTCTTGGGCCGTCTTGAAACCTCTTCGAGGCGCCGGGGAGGGAGTCTGGGGTTCGTGTGCGGGTGCCAGGGGGGGGGGACGATAACGTACCAGTTTTTTCCTGCTCATGTCATAGGTAGAAGAAATATATCTCCGCGATGCATCGGCGATGCGCGCGCGATCCTCCGACCCCATCTTCGGCAGCGGCCAAGAGGGGGGTGTCCAAGAGGGGGGGGGGTGCAAATCATGACCCGGGGCATGTGCGCGGCCAGCAGGGGGGCCAGGGACGTGAGGAAATGAGAAGAGGCGCCATGAAATCTGGGGAAGTATCATGGCCCGCGCCACGATATCCACCCCCCCTATAGTCATCACCCCCCTCTTTTCCGCCCCCGACCTGCGAGGGATCCTCCCTGTGCGCGCCGCCCCCCCGCCGGGGCTGCTTCGGTGCACGCCGTCCCCAGGAGGAGGAGGTGGGAGGAGGAGGAGGAGGAGGGAGGAGGAGGAGGAGGAGGAGGAGGAGGCCGAGAGCATCTCTGAAAGCCCGGCCCTCCGGCGGAGGCGCGCCCCCGGGGGCGGGCGGAAGCGGCGCGCGGAGGGTCGCCCCTTTGAGCCAGGACGCCTCGTCGCGCTGCTGGCGCGCCACCTCCCGCAGCCGCACGAGCTCCCTGGCGCGCGCGGCAGCGCCGGGCTCTCGCCACGGGGCGCGGGAGCGACAGGGGGCGCAGAGGGCGCAGTGGTGCTGCGTGCGGGTGCTGGAGGCGCACGTCCGACGCAAGCGTGCGGCGCACAGACTGTACAGCGGGCCGCTTCCCGCGAGCGGCATGGCCAGAGAACGCCCGCCACGGAGCTGGTGCAGTGCGGGCGCGGCCGCAAGAGACCCCCGCGAGAAACCCGACCCTGAAAACCCGCGCGCGAGGTGCACCCCAGGGGAAACCTGAACGTAGCAGCTTCTTCAACGGCTGCGGGAAGTCACCAAGGGCTCCCAACTTCGCGCTTCGCGCCGCGCGAAGCGCGAGGTGCGAATAACTTCGCGCCCGCGCGCCGCCTCCTCTGGGGAGAAGAGGAGGATGCGGAATCGGAGCCGACTCGCGAAGCGCGAATCACTTCGCGCCCTCGAGGGCGCCCCTGGTCACCGCGCAGCGCGCGGAGCGAAGAAACCCGGTTTCTTGATGCGCGCCCCCACTGTATTGGAAGATCCCCGAGCGCGCGCCTCGCCCCCGCGCGGGGCCCACGCGCACGTCGTCTCTCCCCAGAGCTCCGGCGGCGCGGCCGCTCGAGTGCTGCCGCGTGTCTCCTCGGGCCGGGCCCGGCGGCAAAGCATTACGCTCTGAATCCGGAAATTTAGTCTGACATCCTTTAGTCATTCTGTCTTTCCCCCGTTTCTGAATCGTCCCAGACTTCTATGTGGTTTACTGTTGCTACAAACATATGGCCAACTCCCACAACCGCAACACACCTTTCAGAACGATCGTGTCTTGAAGCTCTGGGGCCCATCGCCCTCCTCCTCCTCCTCCTCCTCCTCCTCCTCCTCCTCCTCCCTCCTCCCTCCTCCCTCCTCCCTCCTCCCTCCTCCATCCTCCCTCCTCCCTCCTCCCTCCCTCCCTCCTCCCTCCTCCCTCCTCCTCCCTTGCCGAGTGGTCGGCCAGCGCTCGCGGCCGCGGCGCTGGCCAGCGGGCGCTTCCACAGGCACACACGTCGAGCTTCCTGCCTAAACGGGAACCAGGACCCACCCCCCTCCCCAAGACCGAACTTCACGAGCCACCTCCGGATCTCGTCACTGGTCGATCATCTGCTATGCACGATCGTCCATCCGAGATATGAAGCTGCAGAACGACCCACCACCGCCATCTCCTGCAAAAGATCAGTGCACATGCGTTGGTATGAGAAGTGTTTGTTTGCTAGGAATCCCTTTCACAACGGTTTACTGGCGCAGGACCAAGCCATAAACAGCTTCGAACATCGCGGGGCAGGTGAGAAGGAGGGCGACAGCAAAAGGACTGCAGCGTTGCTGTGCGGAGTACAGGGCCCTCGGATGTGGAGCCCGCGCACGTAAGGCAAGCATGTGCCGCCTGCGTGTGTCCAGAGCCCCCTCGCGCTGGAGGACGCGCGCAGGAGCGCACGCTACTGAGCACTCCACTCTTCGGGGCATGTTCGGTGTGCGCATCGCCTGCGATCATGATGCACGGTTTGATCAGCTGCAGCTTGACGGGGCGCAGCGCGGATACCCAGAACGATCACGACTTGTAGCGGTACGCAATAGCGCCCTAAGCCATCACACGCACACAGACACACACACGCACACACACAAACACACACACGCACACACACGCACACACACGCACACGCACGCACGCACGCACGCACGCACGCACGCACGCACGCACACCACACACACACACACACACACACACACACACACACACACACACACACACACACACACACACACACACACACACACACACACACACACACACACACACACACACACACACACACACACACACACACGCGCGCGCGCGCGCATTCCGCGCTTCACAGCGATGGATGGCAGGCTGCGTGCCTCGGGGTCCTGCAGTGGGACTGGTAGATCGCTGACCCTTGCAGGGCCTGTCGCGGGTACTGTCTGATTCTCTGCAGCTTCGTCGCACAGAGTAGAATACAAAGCAGCACTGGCATGTGGGAGTGCTTATATGAATATGTTTTGTAGGGGGTCGTCGTCTTGTTTTCGTTGTCGTCGTCGTCGTCCTCCTGCTCGTCCTCCAACTTCCCCTCATCGTGACCCCTCTGATCCTGCTCGTCCCAATCCCCTTCTAATTATGTCCCCCTCCTCCTCCTCCACCTCCTCCTGCTTCTTGCTCCCCTGCGTCCACGCTCTCCCTCCCTTCCTCTCCAGCCTGCACTCTCCATGCCGCGCCAGCTCATTCCCTCCCGAACTCCCTCTCCTCCCCCCATCCCCCCGCCCCGTCCTCTCCTCGCATCTCTTCCTCTGCCACTCTGCCCGATGCTCCGCAGCACGTGTGCTAGCGCCAGCGTGTGCTTGTCCACCAAAAAAATCCTTCCGTACGACGCAGGCGGCGTAAGGAGAGCCGACGCAGACTGCGTGCGATCGGGGGGTTGAACGGGGCAACACACGCACGCACGCACGCACGCACGCACGCACGCACGCACGCACGCACGCACGCACGCACGCACGCACGCACGCACGCACGCACGCACACACAC